GCATGATTTGTAAAAATTGATTGAATGATTGACCGATTGATTGACTAGTTGATTAATTGATTGATTAACAGTAAGATTGACTATGATGTTAGTAGCCTGGGGAGAGGGCGTAATTTTGACGGGCGAGTACTCAGTATTATCTCGGTGAAAATTCCAGCAGCCATCTTTGATTTTACAGCAGCGGAAGGCTGGAGAGAGAAATAGATTTTGTACTAAGGGGGTGGGCGAAAGTCAAAAAGAAGGAGAGGGGGGTGGGGCAATGAATATTACCGCCTTCCCCCGCCCCCTACCCCTACCGTCGACTCTAATTCCATATTAAACAAACGATCGCCCAACTATGACGCTTGCACTGCAGGCTTTGATGTTAGCAATGATTCAAGATTAGAGCTTTACAGAATCCTCAACATCTTTTAAAAAAATTCAACAATTTAGGATTCTCGCCTTAGCTTGCATCTGTTAGGGTCACCTGCAGTTTTTCTCAGTAGTTCTCATGAAATTTGGATGTAATCAATAAGTTGCGCCACTCACCACAAATTCCAAAATTTTGTGCTTCACCCCCAGTGGATGTTGTAGTGTTATGAGTATCCAAATTATGAGCCCATTTTCGCAAAAGATGCGGCAGTAACCTAGGGCTTTGAACCACCACCTCGATAGCCTCGAGTTCTTTATCATAATATTTAATATATGTTTCGCCCAACGCTTTATCATCAGCTTTCTTTAAATAAATCTTGACCCAGCCTGGCTGTTGGGCAGCTATAATAACAAAAACACGCAAAAATAATGATCATCACGATTAAAACTGTGGAGAAGGCATACCTCGTACCTCATTCCTTTTTTCGCTCCTCGTTTCTTTTCGTGCCTTTTTGTTCTGTTTTGTTTTTCTTTAAAACTTTTGTCTGATATTACTGAGATGTGAAATTCAAACAAACTAAATATAGAACACAAATACAAGGTACTTCGGTGTCACCAAAATTAGTAAAGGATTAGCGGATCTAATACTTTGCAAATTCGTTTTCACTTGTACGTAATTACAAAAAAATAAAATACTGATCATAGATATTTGAAGTCAAAGCTCCTGCTGTTACTCTAATGACCACGAGAGTACACATGCTAAACATTTCGTTTATCTCCGCACTAGTTAAGCATGAGTTGAGAACAGTTTCACGGTTATATTTAAAGAGTAAGAATCAACATACGTGGAATCTCCATTCCAATAAGGAATTTATCCCTAAACCTATCCACTTCAACTGCTCCCAGATTCTCGAAGCTTGCAAATCCGGACAGCACCTTCCCTGGCAACTTTCGATCAGATTCAAAGCGACAATAACCTGCACCCTAGAAAACAGAAATATGCCGCGTAACGAAAAGTGCAAACGTTTACGATGATCACCGTACCATGTACAACTTAGTAAGTTAATCCATTCAGACACAGCCAAAACTGATTTCCTTAAAAGTTTAATAACTCTTCTCTAATTATATCTGATTGTTTATCTATTAATGTACATATTGATAGAATTTCGCGGTAGAACACTCTTAATATGGTTGATTGCCATACAATTTAGGTGCATTTATTATGATAGAATTATAACATGCATATAACAGAAAACCACCTGCATATCAATCACATAAGGCGTGTACTGATACAGTGATGAATACCTTGCTACGATAATTTTCGTAAACCCTTACCTCCAGGGGAACCTTATTCGGCTCGACAGTGAAGTTAAAGTGCTCATCTTCATGTGTTGACAGATCATCTACGGAACATTATTGACATTTTACAAAAGAATTGTACACATGCAGTTTCTGTAAATTCTCGCTAGTTCATCTATTTCCCTCTCTGAAATTATGGCACATCACTGATCTCGACAGAGTAAAATATGAGTGGTTCTCTGCAGCCCATATTTTTTCGGCCTAATTTGCTGTTTCAAGTCTAAACTGTCCGATTTCGGACTTCTTGTCACCCTACAGATTACTCCACTCGGTCCCGTTAACGACTACTAAACTATGCAAATCAGCCGTTGTAAGGATTTACGAGGATACTTCGGGTAAGTTTCTAACTCTACACAGTCTTTTACCTGAGGACGAGTTGTGATCACATACACCGCTGGTTGAACCGTCATTACCGGCAGGGCAGTCAAACATCTGTTAACACAACATAAGGTCACATGATGCTACGTTTGAAGACACAGACCGAACATTTATAACACCCATCTTGCTATACTTAGAGGATATTGGAACACTTTCAATTTTAACACTACAGCCTTTTGATTCTTTACGTAGAAAACTACAAAAAAAAAACTATTAAAGTTTTGTACACTATTAATGCATTTGATTTCCCATAAAAATGCTCTTCTTAATGCTCCATTTTCTCCTCTAAATTTAAATAACTCACCACGAGGCTCGAATATTGCTCATTATACAGACACTTTAAAAAATTTATTATTACTTTTAACAGGGTGTTATAACGTGAAATAAAGGTATAGGTGAGTAAACGGTATAACAACATAGCCGCTTTTTTTAGCCTTGAGTCTTGAAACCTAAAAGCGCTGACCTCTTCCCAGTCTCTGCTCAGCTGCATTGGAGTTTTTCGGAAACCTTCATGTAAAATGCACGAATAATGCTAAGTGCTCTTGCCTCACTAAAATACTCGAACGAAAATATTTCCTCTAAAATTTATTTTGTCTTTATTTTGTTCTCAATCTGAGGAATTCAGAGGCCGGTAATGAATAAATGTTTCTATTACGGGAAGGTCTGCGAGTCTGGTCTTCTTAATACCAAATCTTACGACTTTCCATACACCATTAGTTTAATGGGTAAATGTAGCTCATTCATTTTTCCTTCATGGAGATGAATCTTACCTCAAAAGAATTCAACGACGAGATTCCTTGATTAGGGGGTTGAATATTGCTGATATCTGAAGTCCCTGCAGTAGAAATATTTATAGTTTCAATTTTCTTTTTACACACTTATCTTTGTTTATCTACCTTTTTCTTTTTGCATGAATTAGAATTACACACACATCTTGAATGGCTGTTACTTGTTGTCTTGTGGAAGACAAATGCATATATTAAGTCAACGTTTGCTTCTTAATTGTTGTAAACAAATAGATTCGATGTTACCATGGGTGTGTAGAGTTATAGACCACAGTAGAATTGAAAATTTTGTTCAAACAATTGTGACGCACTCAGCTACGCCGAGATAATTAATATATCGACATTGGTGTAAGCGTGGTCTGTACTCTTATCGACAACGATATTTGTCATTACAGTGGTCAAAATGTAAATTCACGACGCGCAGCCAAGTGAGTCCGCAACAAATTTTGACCACGCTAAACCACTGACGATTTGTTTATTTACCACAATATTGACATAAGTAAAACGTTTCTTTCAGTGCGACAACGGCAAATTGGCCGATCAGACTGCGATTTCTAATTGGAGTAATAATATCTGTTTACCACCTAAAAAACACTATGAAGAAGGTATACAAAGGAATCTGTTGACGATTAAGTATCGTCTATGTAAACGGGAAGTGTTCATCGCTTAAAAGTATAAAAGGTAATTAATATGGACAACATTCTATATTTCTCTGATCGAAACGACGTGGAGAGTTCTCGATTTCTTTTAGTTTGATTTTCTGCGCACTACATGTAACTCAAAATTGTCCTCACTGCACCACACATTCCCTTCGGCCGCTTTTACAGAAAGGTATGACATTACTAATGCACCCACAGAAAAGTCTCGTATATACACATCTGTTGCACCATTCTGCTACCATACAGAAAGTACAAGCTGTACCTTTCGTAATAAGCCATTTAGCAAATATGGGTCATTTATCTTGCTAACTTTAAGTCAACGAAAGCAACTGACGTACCTTCCTCGTCATTGTCAAAAGAATTCAGCATCTGCAAAAATTAGAAAGAAAACAGGCTAGTGTAACACTTTGAAAATACTTAACTACAGTCTACGTTGTAACGTCTATAACTAGTTTTAACAAAACTGGGATTAAGTGCTATTATCACTGAACATCATTTCAAAACTAGCCAATAAGTATACCTTACTTAATGGTTAAACATACAATATGCGAGCAATGAGCTGATGCACGGATGAAAAAAAAATTAAAAATTCAAGAGTTGAAAACAAAAATATTTTTAATGAACATTAAATGAAATGGCTGATAAATGCATGTCTAGTTAATATAGCAATCACATTCTGATTCTGGCATGCTAAGAGATGAGATCTTACTTCTTCATCCCATAGATCCATCAATGTGTCAAAGTCTGGATTTCCGTCTGCTTAAAGTAAAAGATATATGCAATTTTCTTTAAAGAAAATAATTATTCAAAAACGTTCCTAATGAGCACTGGACAAAGGTAGAATCTAAGTTATAAAATAAAAAATTAATAAAATAAATACGTTAATTTAGCCCTCAGGGGCTTTTCAGCCACAATATAGACTAACTAAGAACTTGAAATCCCAACTGGCAGGAGGCAGACCAGTGAGCTATTTACAGAGCGCAGCTGAGGAGTTGAACTAGGGGCAACCAAGAACAAATCCAGTGAGTGGCAGGGTGGGGGACTTGAACCCAGGACACCGGATTACAAGTCCAGCATCCTGACCACTCGGCCACGCCGTCTCCACAAGTTCTCGCCAGGAGGCAACTGAGCCAGAGAGAAATTGATGATGAGTGGTGAGCAGTGGGGGATCGGGGGGAGGGGCACAGGGTCAACGCAACAAACAAATATGCCCCTCCCCCCCTCAGCAGGCAGCTGTGTTACAGGGTAAAAACAGCTAGCCACTTTTGGGTACATGGTTTAAGAATTAAAGTCAATTTTACAGATGTTAAATGCTCTAAATCTATCTGGATAATGTACAATACAATTGTTTGATCAATTGATCTTAACCCTTTCACACCCAGGGAGCGACCCACAAGGAATTTCCTCTTACAGCACTCAAACAAAAAGGTTACAAGAAGCAAAATAAATTGTCAAAAAGTGGACATTGCTTGATTTAACACCAAACTACGCCATCACCTCATGTGACTCTTAC